AAGCTGATAAACATCTAATAAAAAGTCTTAAACTGATAGTTGGTACATCTGTGGCTTGACAGAATTGATTACCCTAATATCTTACGTCTTGCAGTAAAACTGCTCATTAGGGCTCAGGTGGTCCTGCCAGATTTATGTCTTACTGTGAAGGGTTATTAAAATAAGAATTCGTATAAAGAAAAAAGGGGTTTTTTTTGTTGTTTCAGCTCCCCATACAAACAGAAACGAAAGTATCAGCCAATCAATAAATTATATAAATGATTCAAGGCTCCAGCTTAGTAAAAAATCCATTTGGTTGTAATCTTCTCAGAGGCGATTAGGATGTGCCTTTAAACAGTTTCTCTTCTAACTGCTAACTAGTGAATGTGAACAGCATTGTAAGGCATCACAAGATTTTTATAAATTGGCCCAGATATCCTTGTTTGTCTTTCTCTTTGTTGGTTTGCTAATTCTGCTGCTAATGTTGGCTAATTCGAATCTTGGGAGATATGTTTCTTCCCTTTTCCAGGGAATTCCCAGCCAAAGCACTTTAGCTCTGTGGTCTTTAGATCACATGAACCTTGTGCCGTGGTGGGCTTCTACTTCTGGAAAACCTGAGACCTCATATTGGTAAATCTCTTTGGCAGTTTTTATATTTCACTCTCTCTGCTTAGCCATGGCTATTTAGATGTTTTAAAACTACATACCTAGGTCATTGATGTTTGGAAAAGAAAGAAGGGTTTTCTTCTGTTTATGCCATTAAATGTCTCTGGAACCTTAGCAAAGTGATTCCAGTTTGTATCTTGGAGGGTAAGAGTGGGAGTAGGGGAGGGTTGTGCAGGATATGCTAACCTTAGCGATTCCTTCCAGCTCTAACATTTAATCATAACAATGAATATTTTCATTCATTGCCTTCATTATCCTTAATGGAGTTACAACCATAGGAATATCTTACACAGGACTCTTTGAGGTGCAAGTGATAGAAAAGCTGGAAACCAGAGAGGGGATTGATTGGCATCGATATATTTTATTGTTTCTTTGACATATTAAAATATATATAACATAAAAGAGTATAAAATGGCCCTAGCCGGTTTGGCTCAGTGGATAGAGCGTCAGCCTGCGGACTCAAGGGCCCCGGGTTCGGTTCCGGTCAAGGGCATGTACCTTGGTTGCGGGCACGTCCCCAGTGGGGAGTGTGCAGGAGGCAGCTGATCGATGTTTTTCTCTCATCAATGTTTCTGACTCTCTATCCCTGTCCCTCTCTGTAAAAAATCAATAAAATATATTTTTTTAAAAAAAGAGTATAAAATGGTTTACCTGTTACATTTAGTTTTGGCTTTTTATAGATGTAATGTATTTCTTCTTTTTAATCCTCACCTGAGGACATGGAAGAGAGAGAGAGAGAGAGAGAGAGAGAGAGAGAGAGAGAGAGAATCGATTTGAGAGAGAAACATTGATTGATTGCCTTCTGTAAGCTCCCGGACTACGGATCAAACCCATAACCCAGATAGGTGACCTGGCCGGGAATCCAACCAGCAACTTTCAGTGCACAGGATGACCCTCACCAACGGAGTCACTCCAGCCAGGCTATAAATGTTCATTTTAATGGGCGAAATGCTCTTTTTAATGGGCTGGAAAGGATAAGGGGGTAGTCAGTGTTTTACATTGGAGTTAAATTGTTTCTCCTAGCCTCAGACATCCTCTTGTTTCATCATCTTGGTTTGAATCCTATATTCCAACTTAACGAGGCATTTGAATGTTTGTGTGATTTCAACAACGGGGTTACTACTGTTTGCATACGTTGAACTCTGTGTGTAACACATTCAAGGAGGCCGTCCCTGGGTCTGGCAATCATGGTGGACCCACCAGGCAAGTGGAGCATCTTTTATGACCCTGGACTCTGCTGAAACTCCCAGCTTTTAAGATCCACTGTTAGTAACAATCACTGATCACCAGTAGCACCTTCTGGGACATTTTAGCAGTGTCAGCCCCCTTCTTACGTGTATGTATGTAAGATGGGGGAATGCTGAC